TCTGTTCTAGGTCAGCCTGCACAAGGCATCAAGAGGAGTGAGGAGGAGAGGAGCAGCCCTGCAGACCCCCAGGTCAGTGCAGGAGCTGCGATCCCCCTGAGATTCCACAGTGCAGCCCACGGAGAGGCAGTTGTGTCCCTGCAGCCCATGGATCCACCTGCAGGACATGGGAGGAGGCCACACTGGAGCTGGGGGATGCTCAAAGCACCATTGGACCCTGTGGAGTGTGGGAATCCAGGACTTCCCTCTGGCTGCCCTGGCAGGTCTGGGACCCTGGCAGGGGTCAGGAACCCCCCTGGACAGAGCCCCCAGAGACACTGGCTGTGATCTCTGTCCATGGAAAAGAGTTTTCAATCTTACAGGATGAATTACCAGCTCTGAGGGTTTGATATAAGTAATAATTAAGTGTGGCACGGGTGCAAAAGTAAAATTTTAGGATTCTAGATGAGGGGTCCAAAGGGGACAAGATGGAGGAAATTGGGTGTGCCTTGTCCTTTTTCTCCTTCTCCATGCCCTCCATGTCTCACTGTGGTGTTGGCATTTTTCTGTTGGTTCAGGCTGGGGACACACTGTCCAACGTAGGTGACAGATATTGGCACGTTCTTGTAAATGCAGCCCAGGGAGTTTCTGGTATTTAATGTTTGTCACATCCCACTGAGGGCAGAGCCCCACACGCTGCCCTGCAGGACAGAGCTGGGCAGGGCAGCAGAACATGTGAGAGATCAACAGAATAAACAACCTGGAAACCAGCACAGACCAATTATGGCTTCTGCTTTGGCAGGGGGCTGACAGACAGAGACTTTCTACAATCCCAGAATCATCAATACCTCAGATTCTGACAGGGGAGAGCCCACTGGCTCCTGGCAGGACCTGTGGATCTGTGGGGGAACGTGCCCACACCGGAGCAGGACCCACGCTGGAGCTGCATCCATCGTAAGCCAAACATCTGCCCAGCTGTTGGATTTCAAGAAGAACTTCCTGGCTTTCAGAGCTGGAGGCAGGTGAGGCTGTGCTGTCTCCTCACGCTGCCTGACTCAGCGTGGCTTCAGCGTCTGTGCATCCCTGGCTGTGTTGATGTTGGCAGACATCGACTCGTTAGCAGCGAGGCTCATTAGAGCTGGGGCCTTGGGGGATGTTTTCATGGAATTCTAGAATGATTTGGGCTGGAAGGAACCTTAAAGATCATTCATTTCCAACTCCCTGCCATGGCTGGGACACCTTCCACTATCCCAGGCTGCTCCAAGCCCTGTCCAGGCTGGCCTTGGGCACTTCCAGGGATCTGGGGGCAGGTGGGTCACCTAAATGTGCTACAACCAAGGAGATCACAGACCAGCTGCCATGACCCTGCTTTTGAATCTGGCTCTGCTCATCCCTTTGGATGAGTTTCAGCAGAGCATTGCCAGGTCTTCGTTTTGGGTGGAAAAGAGCTTATTTGAGGATTATTTAAGAGCAGGTTTTACAACCAAGGTCTGTGCTCTGCATGCACCGAGCAAGCCGAGCTGAGCCGAGCCAAGCAGCCCAAGCCAAGTTGTCCTCACTGCTGTTGTGTTGGAGGAACAATCTCTATTAACAACTTGACTTGGCAGTTTCAACATTATGGGGAAAGAAATATTTTTATTCTCCCACCAGGCCTTTCTCCAGCCATTATTGGCTACTGCTTTCCTGCAAGAACAATTTAACCCCTGTGATGTTCAGGGCACTGGACAGAAGTAAATATAATAAAATTTAACCTTTTCCTCATAAAGCACATGGGTTCTATGATCTAGGTGGGAAAATCACAGGATTTTACTTTTTTTTTTTTTTTTTTTTTTTTTTTTTTTTTTTTTTTTTTTTTTTAAGCCCTTCACAATACAATTGAAGAAACTATATTGCCACATGACTGGAGAAAAGGTCCTTTTGTTGCTTGAAAACTGGTGAAAAAGACAGAAAGCAAGAGGTTTCAGTGATCATTTCTTGGGGTGGAAATGAGTCCAGGGTGTGATACAGCAGAGATTGAGTTCAGGGTTTTTCAACATCCTGATCCACAACCTGCAGGAGCAAGAGCAGCCCCCCATCTCCATTTCTGCAGGAGAGATCTGAGGGCACCAAGTGCCACACTGAGGGCAAGAGACTCCAAAAGGCTCTTGAAAAATGGAAAAGCTGAGAAAAAAATTCAAATAAGCTTTGATGTAGGAAGAGATAAAGTAAAGCATCTGGAGAAAAAAAGATTTGAACAACCCTCGTGCTGTGCCAAGGCTGGGACTGGCACCACGAGCTGAGATCTTGGCCTGCCCCCAGAAATCACTGGCTCAGCCTGTGGCCAAGGAGTGTTCAAGGTGGCAGCTGAAAAGAGATGAAAAATTGCTATTTCTCAGCTTTCCCTGTGCACATCCAGTGCTCAAGGCATCACTTTGCTGCTGCAGGGAACCCCAGTGCGTCCCCGTTTCAAAGCTCTGCAGCCCTGATCCCCAAGGGGAGCCTGGTGGCCTTGGAGAAGAAGAAAGAACCATTAAATGGTCACTGGGATGGGGCAGCTGCTTTCCAAGGTGAGATGGCAGCTCAGGGTCGTTCAGCCTGGAGAAGGGAAAGCTCCTGGTGAGGTCGGTGAATGTGAGATTATTATAAATTACAGCGATTGTAGAATCCCATGGTTTGGGCTGGAAGGGACCTTAAAGCTCATCCCATTCCACCCCCTGCCATGGGCAGGGACACCTCCCACTGTCCCAGGCTGCTCCAAACCTGGTCTTGGAGTGTTTTTGCTTCTGGAAAGCACCAATAGTTTTGATAAACTCACAGAAAAACAGGACAGTCACTGGAGCAGACTGAGATGCACTTGGATCACTGCTCAGCACCTGCAGGCTTCACCAACAAATAAACAACAAACTTCAATGAGCAATCAGCTTCATCCCTCATCCAACACACAGTCCAAAGGTGGATTCAATGGCTCCTGTGTGCAAAGTTAAGGATGGAATTCCTGAGACAGCTCCGAAGGGCGTTGGTGTCACCCTGGGTTTGCCAGGTGTGGATCTGCGTGGTCTGCCCAGCACGGGGCTGGCAGCTCAAAGGCAGCTTTGCATATCAAAGGAGAATGTTGTAAGAAGCAGCTTTTCATTAGTCAGGAAGTCACAAATTGATACCTTGATTGAAATAATTATCAAGAATTACAGGAAATACCCGGAGATGCATTTAAATTCAAGAGAGTCTTCAGGGAGTTGGGGGAAACTTTGCCCCAGACAGGAGTTTCTGTTCAGGGATGCAGCTCTGCAAAATGGAGCCCCACCTTTCAAACCCCCATTATCAGTCCTGCCTTTCACTTGTTTCCTTAGAACAGATTTTTACTTTTTCTTCTTTAGATAATCCTGATTTTTAAGGCTGCTGTGGAAGTGCTGGAGTTGCAAAGCAGATTCATAGGAACTGCAATAATTTCACTGCCCCTTTTCTCCCCTCTGGCTTTTAGGTCTCTGGAATCCACAGATAATTAACCATCATAACAGGAATATCCAGAGGAGCTGTGGCTGCCCCTGGATCCCTGGAAGTGCCCAAGGCCAGGCTGGACAGGGCTTGGAGCAATGTGGGATAGTGGAAGATGTCCCTGCCCATGGCAGGGAGTTGGAATGGGATGATCTTTAAGTTTCCTTCCAACCCAAACCATTCTGGGATTCTGTGAAATTGGTAACGTGAAAGACAAGAAACCATCTTACTCTGGAAATATTTATATACAGGAAATATCCAGTGCTGCCTAAGCCATGTTATATAATACCACAAACAAACAAACAAACAAAAAAACAACCAACCACCGACCAAAAAAAAAAACAACCCCAAAAAACCCCAAAACCCACACAGGAAAAAAAAACAGAAAAACAAACAAACAAAAAAACACACACATAAAACACCCAAAAAACCAACAACAAAAAAACCCAACAAAAAATCAAAATAAGAAAAAATCCAGCATGAAGATCACACGGAAATAGTCTGATTTATATTAGTGCCAAAAACAACCCATTAAGTGCTGGTATTTGTGCTGAAATACTCAGCAGAGAAGGTTCCCTGCCCATGGCAGGGGGGTAGGAGTAGATTGACCTTTTAAGGTCCTTTCCAACACAAGGTTTTCCATAATTCTATGACCCTAAGGACACAGGGGTGAAGTGAAGGCCTCACAGAGGTGTCTCAGGGTGGAAACCTCAGCTTTCCAAGGATAAATTTACAGGGTGTGGTGGAATCACCAAGGCCCCAAGGGTGGGTATGGAAAACAAACCATGGGCACCTTCAGCCACGGTTTTGTAAAACCCAAATCCAGAAGCTGAAGTTCAAATTAAATTAAGACAGCAGGCAGCCCCTGCTCACATCCCTGCAGCTCCAGCACAGCTGGAAGAGGGAGGATGGCAGGGACAGATGCCACGGAGCCGGAGGAAAGCGGGGCTGGAAGGAGGAACACTGCTCACAGGAGTTATTTATGAAAGCGAGGAGATACACAGCCTGGGACTCCCTGGGGATCTGTCCCAGGCCTGGTACTGCTCAAAATATTTTTTTAATAATTACTTGCATGAATAGAAAATTTGCTTCTTACAGCTGCAAATGATACCGAGCCGGGAGGGACTCGCAGCGCTTTTGGAGGATGGGCTGGGACTTCAAAACAATCTTGACGCAGTAGAGAATGAGCCTGGAAAAGCAAAACAGTCTGAAATTTGGGAGAAACAAAGGGAAAATGGAAAATGCTGCTTGTATAAGAGGAGCTGGGCTGCAGAGCACGGCCTGGGAAGGGAATGGGGGAGCAGGGATGTGGCAGAGGCGTCACATCCCTGCTGGGATGGGCAGCCCTCCTTGTTCTGAGGGAAAAGCAGCAAAGCAGAGGCAAGGGCAGGTGGATGTTGCCTGCAGGATATGTGGAGTGGTGATTTAGATCCACGTGGATCCATGGATCCTCACCAGGAGTGGGTTGTCTGCACAGATATGGGGATTTGGGGAGGGGTTGATCAATCACAGCTGGAAAAAGAAATCAAAACAAACTCACCCAAACTCCAAAAAAACCCTCAAGCTCCCCCAAAATAATCACAGGACTTGGAGTTAGTTATTGCAGAGACGATCAGGTTCGGGCAAGAGCCACCTTGCTACCTCAGAGCTTTTAGAAATATTTAAGGCAGGCTGTTCCCTTCTATGTAAATATTTGCAGGGACTTGGAGTAAGAGGACAAGGGGGAATGGATTCCCATTGCCAGAGGGCAAGGTTAGATGGGATTTTGGGAAGGAATTCCTCCCTGTGAGGGTGCTGAGGGGTTAGAAGAGAATTCCCAGAGCAGCTGTGGCTGCCCTGATCCCTGGATGTGTCCCAGGCCAGGCTGGACAGGGCTTGGAGCAGCCTGGGACAATGGAAGGTGTCCCTGCCGTGGCAGGGTGGCACTGAATGAGCTTTTATGTCCCTTCCAACCCAAACCATTTTGAGATTCTCTGATTTTATTAGAAGGAAATAGGTTGTTCCCTTCCTCTCTGTGACCAGCAGTAATGGGCTTATGCAACAGAAAAGGAGCTTCAATTTAGATTAAAAAAAAAACCAATCAAAAAAGAGTGGGGATGTTTTGTCTTGGGTGTTTTTTGTTGTTGTTGGTTTTGGTTTTGGGTGTTTTCTTTTTCTTTGGTTTTTTTTTTTTTTTTTTTTTTTTGTTTTTTTTTAATTTATTACATTGTTCAGGCAATTTTGATTTTGGTAGTCCAACTGCTCAATATCAGCCCTGAAAATTTTTTTTTGTAGATTGGTTGGATAAGAACTGCTGTGATTTATACAGCTGGAGTTGATCCTGACTCTGCAAAGGAGGAAACTGTGCAGAGCTGAAAAGGCCCTTTTTGCCATGTTCTCTGGCACAAGCTCCTTGTGAAAGGTGTCAGCTCAGAGCTATTCATGGAAATGAAAGATGAGCGTGGAATCTATGCAGCTTCCTGCAGAAAGTCAGCAGGAAATCCATGGCTGAAGTTGGATTTATCCATCAACACGTGGGGTTTGTTACAAAGAGCGGTTTTGATAAAACAGAGTGGTTTTTTTATTATTATTTTTGCTTTGTTTTCCCTCCTGGTTAATAGAAGTGTACTGCTTCGATCCTGAAATCAAAAAGCACACCAGAGACACAAGCAGGCAGCCTGGGTTCGAGATGCTGTGAGCTCATATTCCCAGATCCTGCTGACCAAACTTCCCTTAGACAGCTCTCACTCCTGTAATAACCAACCCTGCCAAGCCCAGAAGGGAATCACATCTTCACAGCAACTTGTGAGCTCTCAGGAGCACAGAATTGTCCCAGATGATATCCCGTGGCTTTGGTGGCACAGAGAAACCAAAATGCACCTCAAAGTCTCTGCAAGGGCTCCCACTCACCAGCCCTGCTTCCCACAGATGAGAACATCGAGTTCTTGATATCCTTCCTCTCTCTTGGGCTTTCTAAAATAATTTTTCATTTTTAAAATGAACAATTGTTTGTCACAAGAGGAAGATCTGATCTTTGAAGAAGGGAGAAGAAAGGCCCAGGGTCTAAAGCCCATGGGCTGAGGGTGATTCCTATTTAGCCAGAGGTGAAGGACCTGTAGGTCTGTGTTGAATATGAGATTTCCAAAATGTTCCATAAAATCACCACAGAATCACAGAATGGTTTGGGTTGGAAGGGACCTAAAAGATCATTCAGTTCCACCCCCTGCCATGGGTCTGGACATTTGCCAGTGTCCCAGGTGGCTCCAAGCCCTGTCCAGCCTGGCCTTGGACACTTCCAGGGATCCAGGG